ACCCCCAGGTTCCTGCCCCTGGTGTTCTCCCAAACACCAATCAAATATTAAACTAGGCACTTCTGTGAAGGGATTTTGCAGTTATAATTAAGGTCACAAATAAGTTGGCCTTAAAATAGGAAAATTATCTAGGTAGGTCTGGTTTAATCACATGAGCCCTTTAAAAGCAGAGAATTTTCTCTGCTCATCTCACATTAGAAGTCAGAGATGCACTCTGGCTGCCCTGGAGGAAAGTGAAAATCCTGTGCCAGCTGCTTATGGGGGCCACATGCCAAGGAACAGCCTCTAGGAGCTGAGAGCAGTCCCCTGCTGACTAGAAGAAAAACAGGGACCTCAGTCCTGCAACCTCAAGAAAATGAGTTCTGCTGACACCCAGTGAACTTGGAAGCCCAGACAGCTGCAGACCCACTCAAACATCCTGATTTCAGCCTAGTGAAATCCTGAGCAGAGAACCCAGCCATACCAATCTTGGATTTCTAACCCACAGAAACCAGGAGACCACACATTTGTGTTGTTTTAAGCCACGAAGTTTTTGGTAATTTGTTATGCAGCAACACAAAATGAATATACCAAGGAAATACGAAATGTCACCTGCTGAGTCACAAGGAGCAGGAACTCTGAGTATGGCTGTGGGAGTACAAGATAATAGGTCTTGGGGCATCATTTACATTGTTGTCCATGTGAATGAAGCCCTCTGCATTGGGCAATGCACTCAGCACAACTGTACACAGCAGTCCTGCAGGAGACTCCATTCCTGTCTTGTTCCAGCATCTAAGGTACTTCTTTAAATATTTTTTGCCCTTAGTAGAAATGACAGGGTTGAGCTAAATGTGCCCAAGAGTCCACATAAGCTCAATATTTGGAGCATTTAGTCTATTTTGTGCCTACTCGACCACACACTGGCCCCTCAGTTTATCTACAGCTCTTCTCAGTTTCAACCTCCTGCTTCCCATAAACACGTTTGCCCATCTGTGCTTCTCCCTTATGGAACTGCCACCATGTTCATGAATATGCTTTGAGGACTGACCGGCTCCCTGGGGCTCCCAAGGAAACTCCCCTCCCCTTCCTCCTTTTGATTATGAGTGAACCCACAATATTTAGCTTTAGAGTTCAGGAGGCTGAAAATTAGTGGTTAAAAATTATTTTCAATCTGTTAAATAGATCAACATATCAGTGCTGGTCACTTTGAGAAACTGCTGACTCACCTGTTAGACTACTAAGGCAGCTTAATAATGAAAAAACAGCCCTGGCCGGTTTGGCTCAGGGATTGGAGTGTCGGCCTGCGGACCAGAGAGTCCTGGGTTTGGTTCCCGCTAGGGGCACGTACCAAAAAAAAAAAAGAAAAAACAAACAAAAAGACAAAACCAGGGTCTTTCAGGTGAGCCTTGAATAATTACCTGAAAAAAATAAACCAGCTCACAAAGACAGGAAATACAGTTAAAATTACCTAAGGCGAAAATAAATTAGGTAAGTTAAACAGTCATGCTACAAGGTGGGCACATTGAAACTTAAAAAAATCCATAAACAGTGGTTAGTCTAAATTCCTCTCCATTTCCACCCAATTGCTCCCACTAAGGTCTAACAAGGTATCAACAGTTGTGATTGCTCTGTAGAGGGTCAATATATGTTTCTATTGATTATTTTAGAGAGAGAGAAAGGGAGAGGGAGAGAGAGAAACATCAATGAGAAACATTGATCGGCTGCCTACTGCAGGGAATCAAGCCCACAACCCGGGCATGTGCCCCAAGCAGGAATTAAACCAGCGACCTCTTGGTGCACAGGTTGATGCTCAACCACTGAGCCATCCCAGTAGGTGGTCAATACTTTAAGGTAAAAGTATGTCTTTGAAATCCTAGACTCTCCACATAACATTTAAACTCTGTTATTCTGTCTCTTTGATTGTATTTTTATAAGGATCAAAGTTTTATAAGGATCAGATAAGACCGTGTGTGAAATGCACTTGCACAGTGCCATCAGGTTTAGGTAGTAACTCTTACTAGAAAGGGAACCTTGAAATATATGGTGACAGATTGTAGGAAAGAAAAAAATGAACAAAATAATGAATTTTTCATAAAAATACTTTCCATGCTCAGTTCTTGTGGCTTGGTGTTTGAGCATCCACCCATGCACCAAGAGGTCACCTGTTCAATTCCTGATGGGGCACACGCCCCGGTTGCGGGCCAGATCCCCAGTGGGGGGCATGCAGGAGGTGGCCAATCGATGTTCTCTCATTGATGTTTCCATTTCTCTCTCCCTCCACCTTCCTCTCTCTAAAATCAATAAAGAAAAAAATAGAAATAAAATACTTTTCATAAACTTATTCAAACAAATGGGCTATTGTTATTCTTCATCCTAATGTTCTTTTTCACTCCTTTAGTGTTAGAAGTGGAAAAGGCCTTGGAAGACCTGTCATTCTCAGGGAGGGTGGGTTTAGATGAACTGCAATGACCTGGGGGATCTTTCCAAAATTATCCACACTCAAACTCTTAGCAGTATTGAATTAGAAAACTGGTGTGCTGCAAAAAATGAGGGAATAAACCACGAAAGAGGAGGATGTAGGATTCAGGAAACAACACAGGAGTAGCTAAGGCAAGTCCAAAGAACTGCCACTGGGCATCAGGTCCTGGCAACAACCATTCAAGACAGGAAGTGTAGTGGGAGGGCAAGATAATTAATAACTCCAGGAAAGCAACACTGCATATAAAGAAAACCATCATACCTCATATAATCTATACAGCAGGCAGTATTTATGCTCATTGTATCAATTGGTGTCCCAAAAACCATATGGCACCTAGGTAAAGCAATGACCCAGAGCCAGGAGTGAGATGTGTTATTACCCCTAGCTCCAAAAGGACAAGGAGAGGGAAAGGTTAGTGGAAACTGAAGGGAATCATGTGGAGTTGGCCACCTTGAGGTACATTTTGGCTGAGGAACACACTTGATCTGAAGAGACCTTGAAAGGAGGGAGCCAAGGGAATAAATACCCCAACCTTACTCCTTTCTTACCTCCCTCCTTCCCATCCCTGCTGCAGACCCCCACTGGCCAAACCCGACAGAGCGCAGAGGCCACGGGAAGTCTGTGGATGTAGTCCATGCAGCTTTCTTGGGCAGCAAAGCAGTCAAAGGAGCAGAGATTTGGAGAAGCAAATGGAAGACATGTGGCACACTCATGAATGATATAAACACTGATTAATGACTTAACCAAAATTTACCAAAACCTATATAGAAGATGTGTGGGAGAAGTTGAGGGAATACAGTGTAAAACAGCTGTATGTCAACCATGGCAGGAAGTCAGTAATGAAGAAAGCTCACAGCTTGAAAAACGGTAGTGTGTGTGTATGTATGTATACATATAATCATTAATTTTTTTAAATCCTCACCAGAGGACATTTTTCTTTTTTTTTTTTTTTTTTTTTTTTTTTTTTTTTAATCCTCATCCGAGGACATTTATTGTTCAGGTAGAGTGGGAGGGAGAGAGAGGAAGAGAGAGAGAGAGAAACATCGATGTGAAAGGGACACATCGAGTGGCTGCCACCCGCACGACCGACCAGGGCCGGGGACAAACTGCAACCAAGGTACATGCCCTTAGCGGGAACCGAACCCGGGTCTCTCGGGACCGCAGGCCGACGCTCTAACCGCTGAGCCAAACCGGCCAGGGCAGAGGACATTTTTCTATTTATCTTCAGATAGATAAATAGGAGGGAGAGTATTATTATTTTTATGTTTTTCTTAATTTTTTTAGAAAAGGTTAGAAACATTGATGTGAGGGAGAAACATCAGTTGGCTGCCTAATGCACGCCTCCTACTAGGGATTGACCCTGCAATCCTGGGCATGTGACCTGACCGGGAATGGAACCAGGACCTCACAGTCCATGGGACAACACTCAATCCACTGAGCCACACTGGCCAGGCTATATGTATTATTTAGAAATACAGACATAAAACACAAGACAAAAGCAACAGCTAAATGCGTAAAGCCTTTGGGGACTAAGGGAATGGGACATTATACATCTTGCAATATTATGATTTTTAAAAATTATATATTTAATAAAAACAAATGAATTTTAAGAAAGTTGCTAGAAGGCTACACAAAAGAACTAAGAGTGGTTACATTTGTGGAGCCGTAAAAAGAAATGAATAGTGAAAGAACATGAACTTCTAACTTTCCATTGCATTGTTTACTGGAACATCTGCTATTTTAATACCTTAAATAACTAAATTAATCAACTGAATTTACTTGCTAAAGGGAATTTATCTTATCCCTCAGAACACTTGAAACCTACTGATTTCTATCAAATGAAGTTCAGGGTGAATCAATGACTTCATCAGACATATCGCTTAACAGAGCCTCAGTTAGGACCCAGGACTTCACTGGGGACCCAAAGGCAGAAGTCCCTTCCAAGCACTCCATGCCTCAGAGGGAATAAGCATGATATAAAGATCCGGCTCATCACCTCTGAGCATGTCTAGGTCCCTAAAGTGAAGCAGCCCAGGGGAGCGGCCCAGGCCAGCAAAGAACTGCCCAGTCAGGTCACTGTTGCTGAAAACCACTAAGTTTTGGAGTGTCTTGTTATGCAATCTATTCTTTTTTGTTTGTTTTGCATTTTAATCCTCACCTGAGGATATTTTTCCATTTATCTTCCGATGAGTGAGAGGGAAGGAGAGAGGTGGGGGCGGGGGGGGGTGAGAAACATGGATGTGAGAGAAACACACCAACTGGTTGCCTCCCACACAACCCCGACCAGGGCCAGGGAGGAACTGCAACCGAGGTACGTGCCCGGAACCCGTGACTCACTGGTCCGCAGGCTGTCGCTCTAGCCGCTGAGCCAAACCGACCAGGGCTGCCATGTACTCTTTAAAAAAAGAAAAATAATATTCCTGTCTCAGAACCATCCACATGCCATCATGCTATTATAATTCTGCTTTCTGATGTGGTGAAAAATGTCCATTTAAAAATATTTAAATTAAAAAAAAAAAAAAGAAACCGTAAACGAAACTGAATATTTAATACATTTTGTAGGAATAGAAGGAATGCAACAAAGATTAGAATTTTATAATATACATGACATTTATGTAAAAGATGTTCCATTTATTTCAAAGAAATTTCCTGTGTTTGTTATTTTCCTCAGAATAATAACCAGTAACTACTACTCTTATAGATAAAGGGCTTCATTGTGTTGGGCAGTAATTATAACTTTTTGTTTCAAGTCACTATCATCTCCAAAAACTCCCTTTCATCTCACCACAGTCTCATTGCACTGTTTCACAGTAAAAATATACTCTACTCAAATTTGAAGAGCCTGAACAAAAGCTAGAAGCCCAAGTTGTTTAGGTAATGATTTAGTAACCTGATTTAGTAACAGTGTCTATTGGCGCAAACCTTCTATTTATTCATATTATTAAAGCTATTTAATGAAAAAAAAGCTTGGGAATAAGATCATTAAATATAACTAAATACATTTTAAATATAAATACCATATATTTCCTGATTAGTACCAGGTAAATATCAAAACTGTCGATCCCGATTCTGGTCTAAGAGAAAAAGGTCAGAGACAATTACAAAGAAGGTGCTTCAGATTATTAGGTCCATTTTGAGAACAATGAGGTCCTCTAGGACAATCACTTTAGTCTTTCTTTTTATCAGAGATTTCTGTTGGTCCTTTCGTTGGTAGTCCATTTATGTCTGCACCCTAAAATGAAAAACCATTTTAGAGATTATTACAAGATACTCATCATAGGAGATATTCTCTTTGAAAACAACTGACAAACTTCAGAATGAAAAAAATGCTTCTGGGTATGTGCGGATGACTTAACGCAGCTGAACGCACAGAAGTTGAACCTAACAAGCACCAATGCTAGACAACAGGTTGCCCAAATATTCATTTAAAAAAAATAACTTCATGTTGTTAAAAGAACAAAACAAAACTCTGATTCTCTAAGTCTCCTACCGAAGTTATCAAGCAGTGAAACTGGCTGATTTTAGTATGATCTCTTCTCACCCATTAGCTATTTACCGTGACTCTCATCAGCCAGGACTTACTGGTTATTATCTTGGCCATAAGGCAAGGAGCACATGCATTAATCAGAGGACTAGCTTAAAACTTTAGTTAGTTTAAACCAAACGTTAATTAATTCTTTAAAAAGTCACCCAAACTCCCTATTTTGTTTTTTTTTCAGATTGTAAGAGAAAGTTTACTTAGAAAGTTACAAAGGTAGAAGTGAGCCATCTGGGCTGCGCAGGCTCAGGAAACAAGTTACAGAAGCAAAAGGAGGGCCCTCGGAGCTTGGAAGAAGGAAAGGCAAAGGTAATGTGCCTGGGGGGAAGCAGAGGGGGACGGGAGAGGCACTGGCGTGCTCCTGAGACCCCTATTTAAAAAAGGAAATTAAGACACACTGTTGAAGCTTCTGGTTCCAAGAACTTGCCCTTCCAAAAGCCAAGTATTTTACTCTGACTGTACCACCCCCTCACCCATCCTTCCTTATTCAAGGCATTTTAATGTTCTTACCTTATAGTCTACTTTGCCTTTATCAGTGGATTCTTGCATAGCTTTACTAGGCCACATACGACTAACAAAGGGGGAAATCAGAGGGTATATGTATGGCTCCAGGAACTTTTTGTAGACCCAGAGCAGAACTGGAATGACGATACAAGGAATGCACACCATTGTCCCAGGTGTGAACTCCTGAACTGCTGATGGACATAAAGAAAAAACAAATTAGTGCATCATAGATTAATAACTAAAGGAATTTACCTAGATTAAGATATCCGAAAGGACTATTTTTACATTGAATGAAAAACTTAGATCATATTTATTAACTAAAAGCAAGAATCTATTTAAGCCCAGCTGGTGTGGCTCAGTGGATTGAGTGTTGTCCCATAGATTGAGAGGTCCCGGTTCGATTCCCAGTCAGGGCACATGCCCGGGCTGTGGGCTCCATCCCCAGAAGGAGGCATACAGAAGGCAGCCAATCAATGTTTCTCTCCCACACTGATGTTTCCATCTCTCTCTCTCTCTAAAAAAATAAATAAAAACATAGTAAAAAAATAAATCGATTAAAGATGCTGTTATTTGCCAGCTAAGGGAATAATAGGTGGTAGGCACGATAATAATAGCGAAGTTCCTGCCTTCAAACCCCTCTAGTCATTGCTTCCCAACCATAAATTTAATGATAAAGGAAAGACACCAACATGTGCTAGGTGCTAGGCAGTTAAACACTTTCCATATATAGCTAGCCTTCTGTATCCCCAGGTTTGGCATCATGGAGTCAATCAACCCCAAATAGAAATATTTGGAAAAAAAAACAAACCTAGAAAATTCCAAAAAGCAAAACTTGAATTTGCCATGTACAGAGCACCTTGATGAATCCATGCAAATAAAGTGATGTGTAGGCATACTGTAGCCTAAAAATACTACACCATTATACAGAGGGGACTCAAGCACCTGGGGATTTTGGTATTGGGGGTGGTGGTGGCGGCGAGGTGTCCAGAAACCAATCCCTGAGGACACTGAAGGACAACGGTATAGCTCATTTAATCCGAAACCTAGGGAGGTTGGGTACCCTTGTTATCTTAATTTACACATGAAACAAAGGAAGACAAAACATTAAAGGGCTTGGTAATTATGACTTATACTCCAATAATGACCTAATCATCTTCAAGGACAATATTGATGAGCCAAACCTACAATGCTAAGTATCTAAGATACCACTTTGGAAGCTCCCTAAACTGCAAACTGGCTGGCCTTTTCCAGGCAACCCTCCCTTGATATAATTGCTTTTCGTTTTATTTATGTATGTATGTATGTATGTTAATCCTCACCTGAGGATATTTTTCCATTGATTTTTAGATAGAGTGGGAGGGAGGGAGGAAGGGAGAGAGAAAAACATTGATGTGAGAGAGCACATCAATTGGTTGCCTCCAGTATGACCCTGACAGAAGCTAGGAATTGCACCTGCAACCCAGGTACCTGTCCTTGACAGGGAAATGAACCCTCGACCCTTCAGTCCTCTGCTGAGCCAAACCAGCCAGACTGCTTTTTAATGGCAATTAAGGTGTACGGTGTAATAAAAAAAATTATTATAAATTATTTATTTTCAAAAATTAACACATCTAATTTTCTTGATAACTAAAAATCACCTTGCAATTTCTCAAAATCAGCTATTTCTTGAAAAAGAACAAATACTACTTCCACTATATACTATTAAACCAAAGAGTTCTTAAATTCACAAGAATTTTTGTTTGCTTGTTTTTTTTTTATCCTCACCTGAGGACATTTTTGCATTTATCTTCAGATAGAGTGGGAGGGAGAGAGGGAGGAAAAGAGAGAAACATCGACTGGCTGCCACCCACACAACCGCAACTGGGGCTGGGGACAAACTGTAACTGAGGTACATGCCCTTAGTGGGAACCAAACCCAGGACTCTGGTCCTCAGGCCGATGCTCTAACTGCTGAGCCAAACTGGCCAGGGCAAATTAACAAAAATTTTTAATCACTTAGAGTAGGCCTCAAAAACTAAGATGCTTCAGAACACGCATAAGGCTAGAAATTCAGGATGTTAAATTTTCTTATTATGGGTTGAATCAACATCATGAGTCAGCATCATGACTACAATAAGGCAATTTAAAATTATTCACAAAACAAGTGAACAATGACATAATTTAATCTTAATGAAATGACTCACAAGAATGATAAACAAAAACCCAAATGCACATCAATGAATGATAAGCTATTTTACAAAGGATTCATAACTGGATTCTTTAAAAAGTTCCCCTAGCCCTGGCCGGTTTGGCTCAGCAGTTAGAGTGTCGGTCTGCGGTCTGGAGAGACCCGGGTTCGGTTCCCGCTAAGGGCACGTACTTCAGTTGCAGTTTGTCCCCAGCCCTGGTTGGTCGTGTGGGTGGCAGTCACTCGATGTGTCCCTTTCACGTAGATGTTTCTCTCTCTCTCTCTCTTCCACTCTATCTGTACAAAAAATGGAAAAATGTCCTCGGGTGAGGATAAAAAAAATAAAAAATAATAAAATAAAAAGTTCCCCTAGTCAGCCCTGGCCAGTTTTGCTCAGCAGTCAGAGAGTGGGTGGATGGACTGAAGGGTCTCCAGTTCCATTCCTGGGTGGTAGGCCCTGTTTTGGCCATAGATATTTAGAATCAGATCTGGAGACTTGGAGGTGGTCTGGTTTAGGTGGTGCACACTCTTATAGGTACCACAGCACAGTAATCAAGCAGACTGGCTAGCAGCTGCCTGGATTTGAGATCTGCTTTCCCAACTTTCTTTATGGTGTTCTTGGGCAAATTATTTAACCAATCAGTGCCTTACTTCCCTCATGTGTAAAATGTAGACAATAAGAATATCTGCCTCACAGGGATGTGGATTAGATAAATCAACATGCACACAAAGCTCAGAAGAGTGTCTGCATATATTATGTGCTATGTTAAGTCAAAAAAAAAAAAAGGTCAAAAGTTGTGACTCATCCAAGGATCACACAAAGGTAACTAAGACCAGAATTCTAAGGTCCGGTCTCCTAGCTCAAGGCTCTTGCCTCTTACCTCTTCTAAAACACAATGATTATGCTAATCCTCCTCCGACCAAACCTTCAAAAACAAGGACACCTTTCAAAACATCTGGCAATGCTCTGAGCACTAGGCTAAGTTGATGACTGGCTATCCCTTCATCAAGACTTTTTACCTACCTGCAATTTGGTTTTAATTAAGTACGTATGTATTGTTTTAAATAAACTCTCCAGAACAAATACAAAAATCAGTTTTGTCAAAATTATGACTTTTATCAAACTTTTTAACTCTCTTCAGAATAAAGCTACTGTGTTTCATCTCTTAATCTGCATAATGATTCTTCAATGAGTTAATTTACTGCATACATGTGGAAACTGGGGCTTAGAAAGGTCCAGAAGGTGGCTATGATAAATTGAAAAAATTTTCACTTAATCTCTACAAACCAATTCTCGGATACTACAACAAAGAAAGCAAAACGGATTAAAACTGTCGAAGGAGAGGAATTTTCTTTCATTCGACTTAGTGCAATCCAACAGAACAGAGAGCGAAAGGTTGAGGCTCCATCAGAAACCGGGCAGGTGGAGTGGGGAACGCCACCTCCCTCTGAGTAACCCAGTTCTACATATCATTTTACTGGAGACAAGAGCGGGACAGGCTGAGTGAAAGACAACGACCGAAAAGATAGGCGAGAATAAGGGTGAACGGTGGTGAAGATAACAGAAGAGCGAAGAAACCGACAATTCAGGCCAAGGAAGAGAATAAACGGACGTAAAGGGAAGGCAGACGGAGGCCAGGCGGGTGAGTGGAAGCAGCGGGGGCAGAGATGAAGGGCGAGCGGCAGGGATGCGTTGGAGGGCGAGGTGGATACACCTTAGCGTGCAGGGGGCCGCGAGGGGCCCAGGGCAGGAGAGCCACGACCGGGCTGGGCTCGGTCAGCGCAGCCCAGCCCGGCCCGGAACCAGAGGAGCAGCCTGGCAGCGCCGAGATCACAGCCCATCCCCGACTCACATCCCCGGCTGAAAGCTGGAGCCCACCCGACCCCACTCACCGCGACCACCAAGCCCAAGTGGAAATGTCTGCACTTCCGGAGGGAGGGACCTGCCGCAGCCGAGCCAATGGACACCGCAAAAAGGGCCGGTAAACACGTGCTTGCGTCAGCCTGACGACACACAAGACGTATTGGTGACGCCGGGGCGGTGCCCCCGACGCTGCACCCTAAACTCCAAGCCTGCTGGCTGCAGGGCTGCGCTCGTCTCCGAATACGAGAGCAAAATTCAAAGCATTGCTCCAACAAATAATGCCTGTGCCAGTGGTTCACCACCCTAGGAAAAATTATACTCCACTTGCAGGAGAGGTAGGCTATCCTCTCCTGGCAAAAAGGGTATTAAATTCAAGAGCAGGGTAAACTAAGTCAACTTTAATTGGAGATTAGTTTAAATAAAACAGCTGTACCACCTCACTCCCACCAAAGTAGCTATGTGAATTTGTGGAGAAAACTGGAACCCTCAGTGATAATGGCTTTGTAAGTGGCATAACCCCTTTGAAGTCGGACAGTTACATGATCTAGCAATTTCACTCTTGGCTTATACTCAACACGCCCATACAAAAGCTTATAAAGGTGCACAACAGCACTATTTGTAATAGCTTAAAAAAAAAGACCCAAATGTTCAACTAATTTAGTATATGGATACAAATTATACATCAATAGATACATGGACGAACCCTGAAAACACTAAATCAAAGCTAGTGGCAATGGGCCACATATTTCTTTCATGAGATGTCAGAACAGGCCTATCTATAGCTTAAGTGGTTCCTAGGGCTGGATGGGAGTGACCACTGCCAAGGTTCCGCTCTATGGCAATTAAAATGTTATAAAATTTCTTTCGGTGATACTTAATATAAGAAGATCCCCAGCACTGTGGTGAACTGCAGTGTTAAATCAGAACTTCCCCTGTTCTAATTCCATCTTATACAAAAAAACAAGATATTCAAAACAGTATGTTTATAAACCAAATTAATGGCAGAGGGCACACAGGTTTTTTTTTTTTTTTTTATCCTCACCTGAGGACACTTTTCCATTTTTGTTCAGCTAAAAGTGGGAGGGAGAGAAACATCCACATGAAAGGGACACATCGAGTGGCTGCCTCCCGCACTACCCTAACCAGGGGCCCGAACAAATTGCAACCAAGGTAAGTGGCCCTTGGCCAGAATTGAATCTGCGACTCATTGGTCCACGGGCCGACGCTGAGCCAAACCTGCCAGGGCCAGAATAATGTTTTTTAATTCTAATCAGAAGAAAACTTGATCACTCAAAATATATTTACTAATAATAAACACAACCAACATTCTGCTTTTACTTTTATTAGTCTTTATTTTATGCTGAATTTACTCCCGGGCCATAAGTTTTTGTTTCTTCAGTTTCTTCTGGGATATCTGGGAAAAGAAAAAAATAAAAAGGACTTTAAGTTTCCTGAAGAAATACTCACACTACATCTTTTTTTTTTTTTAAATCCTCACCCAAGGACATTTTTGCGTTTATCTTCAGATAGAGCGGGAGGGAGAGAGAGGGGAAGAGAGAGATACTGGTTAAAACCCACACGACCCTAACCGGGGCAAACTGCGACTGAGGTACATGCCCCTAACGGGAACCGAACCCAGGACTCTCTGGTCAGCGGGCCGACACTCTAACCACTGAGCAAAACCGGCCAGGGCCACACTTACATCTTCAAGGAGTAGGTCTTAGCTCAGTGAAAGAATTGGGAATTAGAAGTAGGGAAGGAGAGTTTAAGCTGAAGTACACTGAAGGTAGGGACACCAGCTGGTAAAGATTCTAGTGGCAAGAAGGATGAAAGACATTTAAGTGACATCAACACAAGTGAAATCTATCAGGTGTAAAGGGAGGATTCTAGAATCACTCCCAGCTTCCTGGCTTCCAGAACTGAATGGGAACACGATGACTATAGCTAACAATGTTGCATGATACACAGGAAAGTTGATAGGAAGAGCAAATTATAAGAGATCATATCATAAGAAGATAATTTCCCCCCTTCTTTATGAAGACTTAATATGGTAATCATTTCAGAGTAGATATAAATCAAACCATCATGCTGTATCTTTTTTTTTATCCTCACCTGAGGACATTTTTCCATTTTTTTTTGTTCAGACAGAGTGGGGGGAGGGAGAACCATTGACGTGTAAGGGACACATTGAGTGGCTGCCTCCCACATGACCCCAACCAGGGCCAGGGATAAACTGCAACCGAGATACACGCCCTTAGCAGAAACTGAACCCGGGTCTCTCTGGACCGCAAGCTGATGCTCTAACCACTTAGAAAACCAGCCAGGGCTCATGCTGTATAAAAGTTACAGTGATATATGTCAATTACTTCTCAAGAAAACCCCACAAAAATGAAAAACAAACACAAAACTGCACTGTCATCATTTACTGAAAACAGGCTTATTAGATTTGGGGGCATTTTTGGACATGTTGCATTTGTAATGACTATGGACATCCAGGTGGGGATATCAGTAGATAATCACAGTTCTCATCAACTGAATAGTACAAAGTTACTATTCACTATTAGTCAAGAAACAAATGAGACCCATGCAAGTCAAAATAAAATACAAGGTTGCTCAGAGTAGTTTTCTTTCATGGTTATTCCAAAGGTGTCCTAAGTTAGTCATCACAGCAACCACAAACTTAATATACACAACAGAAACTGAGCAAAGACTAAGTAATTTACCTTTTTCTTCTGTGCAACCTCCTCTTCTGGTTTAGGAACAATCTGCTCCTTCTCAGTGAGGATCATCTCAATGTGGCAGGGAGAGCTCATGTATGGGTTAATCCGCCCATGAGCTCTGTAAGTTCTACGGCGCATCTTGGGAGCTTTGTTTACCTGGATGTGCTCAATAACCAGAGAATCTACATCTAAACCCTGGGAAGAAGAAAGGGAATATAATCAGGTAACATCTTTTCTTGTTTTTTTGGGGGGAGGGGGTTTATCCTCACCTGAGGATCTTTTTCCATTGATTTTTAGAATAGAATGGAAGGGAAGGAGAGACATTGGTTGCCTCTGCACAGCCCCAACCAGGGGCCAACCATGGAACCTGCCACCCAGGTACATGCCCTTGACCACAACCAAACCCAAGACCCGTCATGGGCCAACAGGCTAACAGACCAGGGGTCAGGTAACATCTTAACACCATCATTGGAAAATTAAGACCCTGCCTTAATGAACTCATTTGTGAAAGGCAATCCTTACGATTTTTTTTTTAATCCTCACCTGAGGATATTTTTACATTATTCTTCAGATAGAGCTGGAGGGAGGGAGAGAGGGAGGAAGAGAGAAACACCAATGTGAGAGGCACACATCGATTGGTTGCCACCCGCACTACCCCAACCAGGACTGGGGACAAACTACAACTGAGGTACGTGCTCTTGGCCAGAATCAAACCCGGGACTCTTTGGTCCGTGGGCGATGCTCTTACCGCTGTGCCGTACCAGCCAGGGCAAGAATTCAAGTCACTTACAGTGATACCTCGGTTCTCGAACATAATTCGTTCCAGGAGGACGGTCGAGAACCAAATTGTTCGAGAACCGAAGCAATGAAACCCAATAGGAAATAATGGAAACTGGATTAATTCGTTCCAAGCCCCAGAAAATGCCTATTTACTGGCCTAATTTGTATATAATATGTAGAAAAACATAAGTCTCAACAAGAAATAAAAGTGTACAGTATGTCTAAGGGTTAAATTCAGTGTAAAGCGTGACTCTCTCTCTGCACTCACACTGATGACGCAAGCAAGGCGCGCTGGGCCGAATGAACGCCATTCGGCTCAACTCGGCTCATCTCGGAAGTTCGAGTTCCAAATATTTGTTCGGATTCCAAGACAAAAGTTTCTCGAATCTCCTGGTCGAATACCGATTTGGTCGAAATTCGAGGCGTTCGAGAACCGAGGTATCACTGTATTTCTTTAAGCAGTTGCTTTCAACTTGATTCTAAAGGTCCTTCCTTAAATTAAATCTAAGTAATTAATAAAACTCAGTGCTAAGTGCATGTTAAAGAGTAGTGTCAATTTCTAAGTTTTGATAATAAACAAGATTTTGTCAGCATGGCTTAGTAGTTCAAGGTTTATAGCCAGAGGTCCACATTAATTTTAGTTCTGGCCCAGATTTCCAAATGCAAAAGGCAATGGATAATGCCCCAAATGGATAAACCTGTTGACCACGTTGTTTTAACTTCTAGGTGAAACTTAATTTGTCTCTCCATTAACAATGGAGGCAACAGCCCTGGCCGGTTTGGCTCAGCGGTGACACCCAATAAGTTGAGGGTTCGATTCCAGTCAAAAGCACCTACCTCTGTTATGGTTTGTCCCCAGCCCTGGGTGGAGTTGTGCAGGAGGCAACCAGTCAGTGTGTCCCTCTCACATTGATGTTTCTCTTTCTCTCCCCGCTACTCATCTGAAAATGAATGGAAAAATATCCTCAGGTGAGTATAAAAAAAAATATATGGGCAACAAACCACATTAACCATTACTAAGGCAACCATTTTGGTAACTATATTTGTCCCTCTGCAGTAGTGTTTTATTGTTTATATAATAAATATGGACAACATTAATTGAACAACCCTCCAAGTTGGATACATATAAAGATGTTAATGCTTTGTGTACCTTAAGTTCAGCATTGCTCTCTGCATTTTTAAGCATGTGCAGCAAAAACTCAGCACTCTTTTTGGGCCACCGACCCTGTGTCCAGCCCCACTGTTTTGCCTGAAAGAAAACAAAGGGAGGCTATTAGTCATTTCTCCTGATTTAAATCAAATGTCATAATCAATAACTTATGGTGTGCTCTCCATCCTGGGAGCTTGCCCCTGCCTTTCCCTTCCCCCTCTTCTTCCCCTACAGGCATGCATCTCCTAAACTCTAAGGGACCCCCACTACTTGTATCCAAGTGAGCAATAGGTAATGGCAGCTCATCCAGGGCTAACCTCCCAAGCCTATTTCCAAGGCTCCCTTCCCCATACCCCACCGGCCCTCCAGTGAGCTGACAGCAGCCCTGCCTAGCCTCTCCCCTGTTGCTTCTTCTGTTGTAAGCCATTCCTTGTTTCCCTGTCCCCAGCTTTAATAAACATA